CAAAATAAAAAAAACTAAAAAAAAAATCCAACAACATTCAACTTCCCAGACCTCTGGTTTGGATTATATTATTACCTTGATGAATTTATCAGAAGTTGCAGACCTTAAACAAAGTGAAACTACTGCTGAAGTGGTTATCAAACGGTAAAGAACACACCTATCATTAATGCAGAGTGAAGTGTAAAGTTCCTCCCAATAGTGCATATGAGAGCATATCAGGAGTCATACAGCTCCACGGCGCCTGGACTCTGGACTTTGAACAGTAAACTGAGCGGTCAATAAGAAATAACAGCAGTGCTGTTATCAAGTCATAGATAGAGGAAAGACACATTCCGCCCTTAGCTGATAAACCGGTCGTCTGCATGAGTAACCATGAGACTATATCAAGTCGCAGAGCAGCAGCCGTCATTACAGAGACTATTCTATTACCATAGAAGATGTCCCCTGCCATCGTTTGGGAGGCAGCTATTGGAGAAACAGATCACAGCTGATCCGTGATCAGTTCGGATCATCCCCCACGACTCGGTCCTCATGTGGTCCGGGTATAGAAAAGTATCATCACGGTGTAAAACAGATGTACTGCTTCTAAATCCCTGCGCAGTGTCAGTGAAAAGAATAAAGTGTTTAACAAGTGTGTGTATGCGCTATGGAGATCCGCCGCACAAATATGAAGACAATTCAGTCTTTAGAAAATATATTGTAACTTAAGTGTTTGGCAAGTTAAAATGATGGTGAGTGACGGCCCTCACTGAAACTTCGACCATCAGAAAACAGTGCAGCAGGTTTATGCTTCATAAACTCCAATATTGATTTAATCTACTATGCACTATCCAAACAGCAAAAAGATAATATTCCACTACTTTCCCCTATTCCAATAATAGTGGAAAACACTCAGATACGGTTGAAATAAACAGGAAGTGAGAATATTTCCCCTGCTGCTGGTCGAGATTTATCGATTTATCTGGTTAGCGTCCCATTTCCACTCCAGGAAGCAGATGTAAAACCAAACAGTATTTTTTGACATTTTGACACATACCGATAGCTCTGAGAAACAATCTCTTGTTTGCCTATCTGCAGGGGTGATAGGTCTGATTGATGCAGCCTGGTTGTTATTTTCAGATGTTTCCTCGCTGTGTTTGCAGAAGCAGGAAACCACTGAGGCTAATGTAAATGTTAGAAAAGTTCTGACTTGTTTTTAAAGCCTCTGCTTTGACTGCTCACCAGAGCATGACTCACAGAAACAACGACGACGGTGGGAACAAAAAGGTACCATGAATAAAAACAATACTCTGCATGGAGGTGTGAAATGACCCCTCGATGATTCTTCATTCACGTTTGCATCAACTTAAAAAAGAAGTGAGTGGATCACATCACTAATTCAGCTGTCGTTATCTCATGAGAATAGGATGTGAAAGAGAAACTGAACTTTCAATTCAAAAGTACAATAGGAAGGAATCACACAGATATACAAACAGGAAGTGGTTGACAGTTGACATTTAGTTTGATCAGACTGGAATATCGTCATGAGAAATAAATACGATAGTATTGCTCGGCACATTCCCAGACTGAGGTGACAAAAGTGCTTCTACACTGCAGGTCACACACTGAGGGTAGAGGTTGCTATGTGAAGTGTCCATCATAAGTGAGTAATCCCATTCAGAGACACGCCGCAGATGAAGCAGCTGGAGCAATTCAGGGTTAAATATCTTGCTCATGGACACATCGGACATGTTGCTGCAGGAGCTGAGGATCGAACCCCCAACCTTCCGGATGAGAGACGACCGACTGTACCAACTGAGCAACAGACGCCCGTATGTGAAGCCCCCACTGTGAAATCACAGACTAGTACACTAATGTTACACCGCTGCAGCATCAACTTGAAAGTACAAAGATGTAATGGCAGCAGAGATTTGTTGTGGATTCACAATCTGCAAAGGGCTTACGATTCACTCACATTTTGATAGAATCCTCTCTGCTTTCACAACACAACGGTAATACTCTCCTGTCGCTGGATATAATTGGCCTAATCTGTCCATTTTCCAAAATGATGATACTTTTATTGCAGATTTCCATCAATAAAACTCCTAATTTTTTTCAAGGATGTTCCACATTAAAAGAAATCCAGCAGCTCTAATGGTTACTCTGTGCACTAACCAAGCGGGTGAGGCCAATGTGCAAGTGCAAACTCTTCCTCAAATGTCCACCTGAGGCTGGCTGCAAAAGCCTCAGAAATCCCATTAACAGCCATATTGATGTGCCTATTTTGAAAGCAGACCTTTTTTTCACAGCTTGGTTCAAAACACATTTGGTCGGAATAGTTCATAACTTTAATAGTACACATTGTACAGGGAGTTACATTTTATAACTCATCTGTTTTGATTATATGAAGAGATACACATAATCAGGGGAGTGGCTCAGCTCACTGACAGGCCGGTGCATTGTAGCTGTTTGCCAAGAAGCTTAAGAGGCCTGTTGCTTGGATGACCCATAGATGCTTCGGAGAGGTGTGCTTCAGCACGGTACAGTTCAGGCACGAACACAAGCACACAGGTAAACAACGTTATGAAGAAACCCGGAGTGTTCTGTCTGTATCTAACATGACTCAAAGTAAAGACACAAAGCAGCAGTCATGTTCTCTGACGTGAGGACACGGACTCGACCGCGCGTCTCTTTTATTTTTTACATGTATTTACGGCTCTATCTGATTAAAATGACTCAAAATATGACACAGAGTCATAAAGTAGCTGTCATGTTCTCTGTGTTATTCTCTGATGTGCAGACGCAGACTCGACTGCACATCCCTTTTGCACGCTTCATAATTACATAAAGCCATGCATGTGCTGTGTTATGAAGTCATGTAAGTAAGAGGTAACCGTGCTCAGGCCCGGTTTGTCCTGGAGCAGTGTGACCGCAGGACGTGCAGGCCAACGGGGGAATGGGGGGGCAATCGTGCTTAAGGTCCGACAACATTGCCAGTGTGACCGCGCCCTTAGTCTCAGTGATGTCACCCATTGGTTAGTGAAGGGGAGTTTTAATTTTGCATTGCTCTTATATTTCAAAATTAATCTTTTTTTTTTTAATCACCTGCCATACAGTGTGTGAATTTATTATCATCTATTCAGACCCAAATAGTTTTTTGGCCCAGGTTGTAAACATGTTTATTTCTGCTCTCAAAATGATCATTTTGGTATAATGGGTGGAATGTGACCTCAGGGGATTTTGCAGCCAGCCTCAAGTGGACTCTCAGGGAACTGCAACAGAACACCTTACAGTTAGATTAATAGTCTTTTAGAAAAAACGTCAAGCTGCCAACCTTCATCCAAACACATTTCCCCCTGGAGTTCTGGTGCTTGTTTTATCAGCAAAGGTTTAAACAAAGCTCCGGCATGTCTGACTAAACATCCACATCTCATTTAGACAAACAGATGAGCATTGTTCCAACATGATCCCATGCAATCCAAATCTTAGAATAGGTTCACAGTTACTCACGGCCGCCCACCATGCTGTATTTTGGTGGCCAGTACACTTAAACTTAAATGGAATTTTATCAGTTCAGTTAGAAGATTCTCGCCATAGATTTGACAATTTTTTTGCGAAAATGGAAACACAGTTCAACTTGGCACTAATGGCTCTGCTATAAAGAGGCTCCGTGGGTTAGCTGAGCAACATGCCACAGCTTTCCAGCGCAATCATAACATCAGCAAAGTTTTAGGCTGAAAGGAGGAGGCTGGGATGGTGGAGGTAAAGCTTTGCCAGCAGCAGCGCACTGTGAGCAGCAGTTAAGTGTTGCAGGGATCAATAAGAAGGAAGTTATATTTGAACGGACCGCTTAGTCATGAGAAAGGGCTGTGATTGGTTTGTGCGTGATTAGAAACAATGATTCAATCAGCAGACAGTCAGCTGATTACAGTTTGACTATACCGTGTCCAAACGGAGCTTAATTTACAGTATGACATGTCCAAATTGAAAAAGATGTACCTTTGTAGTCTACTGTATGTCTGTTATTAAACCAAGGCCCGGGGGATGAATGTTTCTGAAGGCTCTGTGTGAACGTTGATGCTGTTGTTGTTGTTGTTGTTGTTGTTGTTGTTGTTGTTGTTGTTCTATCCTTCTCCCTCTATCTCACATTCCAAGTCTAACACAGTTGCAGCAGATATCTGATCAACATGAGTCTGGTTCTGCTCGAGGTTTCTGCCTCTTAAAAAGAAGTTTATCCTTCCCACTATCCTTTATCTAAATATTGCCATGTGCTTTACTCATGGTGGATTAATGTTGGGTCTGTGTAAGTAGGCCTAATATAATGCCTAGTCTAGTCCAGAGCTGCTCTTTCTGTTTAGCGTCTGATATAAACAAACATATATTTGTTATGAATTGGTGCTATACAAATAAAGATTGATTGATTGACTCTAACTGGAGTTATCCCTGCTGTTGAATGCATGCCAATGTGTGAATAAGAAACCCCTAAGAAGATAGACCTATACATTTGTTTGTTTTTTAAATAAAATAAATCAACGTTTCCATTCATTGTGTAATTTTAACCAGTTTCACCTAACCTAATTATAGCTTATATTGGGTCAATATTAGGTATATCTTAACGTTTTAAATGATATTAAAGTGATCTTTTGTGAGGTTAGTGACTACAATATAATAATAACAATACCAGAACATTCATGTTTTTTTCAGAGTTTCATAAACAGTCTTTAATAAGATAAAACAACAATAGGATTACAATTGGTTTCTGATTTCTCAACAGTGTCTGGTGTAACGTTGTTTACGTACCAAACTAAGTTATATGGATGAAGAAACGTAAAGCTGAGAGCCTCGAAATGATGTCAACAAGCCACCACAGTCCCCCCCCCCCCCCCCACCGGTTAGATGTAAGACTTCACATTTGTTTACTTCTCATTCCTCTTTTCTGGTTCTGTGAAGCGTAAGCTGCAAACCTGGTCCACATCCAAACAATTGTTGTTATGAAGGAGCAATAACAGGCGTCTCCATACCTGACTGGCTTTGTGGAACTGTTTCTTCAGCCCGGCCACAGACATCTTCACCCCGCGCGTCACGCTTCCTCTCCTGTAAATATGTTCCACAAAATAACCCCCGAAGAAGAAAAGTTACAAATAGATGTATGTTAGAGAAAAGCCTGACGGACTCCACCACACTGCACTCATCAGTCAACACCGTTCAACACTGTGGCTCAGTCTGAGAGGAGTCAAGTTCACACAGCGCAGCCCGACACAACCGGAAATAAGGTTATCTCTTAGAAATAAAAGTTTCAATTTAGACACTAGAAACTTGTTTTGTTAACAGAAAAGTAACATGAAACGTTTTTTGTGAAGGAGGAATGTTCTGTCGAATAGTCTACTGCGAGTCTGAAGTAATTTTTTATTCATTCATTTATCCACTCGTTCTACTTAAAGCTAATGTTTGCAGCAATGGAGTCAAAGAAAAATTTTCCCAACAATACAATGTATTGTAATGTAGGCCAATCGTATGGTATCCACTGGTGGATGTTGCATCATTAAATGTCTTATAGATGCACAGCGATGTAGCATAGGTTATATCTTAGTTCATAAGCTTGATGTTTACACATAATAAAATCTGACAGGGAACAATGTGAGTAAGAGCAAACGATCAGCTTTGAGTCTGATTGGACACACAGGTGCTGACAGGAAGTGACCAGAGGCAAAGCACAACATTGAGGGCAGTTCTTGAGAGCTCTAATCAGTATAGAAACCATCTTATAAGTCGTCCTTATCAAACAAAAACCATCGTCACAACCATCATCATCATCAATAATATGGAGACCATCATCATTAAGTTAGTAGGTATTCATGAAAGAGCTGGGTCTTTAGCTTTTTCTTAAAGGTGCAGAGGGACTCTGCAGATTGGATGGAGTTCTGGCTTACAGAATCATCATCCCATTTCAAAGGAACAATCAATGTCATATAAAGTGATTGTTTCTTAAGGTAAGAGATGCTAACTTAGTCTCTTATCATCTCTACAGTCAGTGACGCTACAGTTGTGTCATTCGTCAAAGTCGGAAGCGTGTGTGCTGAATGACTTTCGCTCAAATCGTATCGTAGGACTATTTCTGAACATAATGTTTGTTAATAGTTTACACGTATAATTTGTGACACAGCTTTTTTTTAAAAAAAATCTTTGAATGCCAGGCCTGTTGGAAAGTTTAATTTACAAAACTTGGTCAGCATCCTATAATTGAAAGCTTAGGCAAAGTCTTACCAGCAAACAGGGCTTTCACTGTATCTATTGTCCCTGACACATCTAAAGGAAATCCTGAAATACACTGTAGAGACACTAATGATGACTCCTAAATAACTCCCAACTCGAACAGTTTCTTAACACTTGCTGTCTAACACTTTAAATCTTCCCCTATCTTATTTGTGATCTTATTAAAGCCTATATTGTTTCATGTATAAAGTGTAAGGGGAACACCTTTTCTACTGTCTATCAGTATGCTATTTCAGTGCTGTATACATACTATTATTATTTTTTTACTTGGCTGTCCAATGTACTTCAGGTGAATTGATTCGTGATACATATCTTATTTTGAAAATCAAAACCGGAACATGAAGTTGCACATTCCGGCTTTACCTGGTGAATGGCAGAGGAGGAGAGGGTTTCCTGAATAGCAGAGATGTCGCCACTTCTGAAAGCTCATTGGCTGACAGCTGCTCGTGCGAAGGAAACCACGTAGAGCGAAGATGACTTCAGAGAGATCGGAAGTGTCTCTGCAATCGACTGACGGTAACAGGAATGGAAAATAAATAAAAGATTAAGCCTACCTCTGTTTGTTTTACTGCAAATGTTGTTAACAGACTAAACAGAAGTTTCAGTGAAAAATAAGGTTCAAGAAAGTTTTACAATGAATTTATCCAAATGTTAAGTAAACTCTTCATTTGTCGAAAAGGACATCAGGAAATCAGACAAAAATAGAAAGAAAAGTCTGATACATTGTTGACCAAAGCTTAGGCTGCTTTCTATGTCTTCAAATTTGAATCAAATGCAATTCAAAACATCACAGTGGAAACACTTCAAAGGATAATATCAATGCTTAATTATTTATTCAGTTTATTAATTATTTATAATAAATAATAAAACATCATTGAACTTCTTCTAGATTATAAATCTCTGACTGTCCTGGTTAAGACCGACAGATAAACAATTAGCAGCACATACAAACATGAGATCAATAATTATAATGCATTACACAAGACGAAACAACAAACATAAACAGTAAATATGAGTCAGTGCTGGATGGGACAGATCTTATTTCTTATCTAAATCACAGCATTACTCTTCCGCCCCCTTGTGGTGCAGTATTCATGTGCAATTCAACAGATTCAGATGAACCAATAAAACTTACTAATGATCATCAGTATTTATTACTCAGTGTATTTATTAAGATGTTACTACAGGAAATATGTAAATAGCTTTATAAAATACAAACTTCAGAACAAAATGACTTCTACAGTAAAAAGTCAGTTTTCAGTAGACTCATCTTGAACTCTTCCAGGGAGACTGTCTTTAAGTCTTCTACAGTAATCTTGTGGTATTTTATACCAAGCTTCTTTAAGCACTTCCCAGTGTTCTTCTTTGGAGCGGCTGTGGCTCAGTGGTAGAGTTGATCGTCTCTCCACTGGAAGGTTCAGGGGTTCGATCCCCAGCAATCGAGCAACATGTCGATGTGTCTTCGGGCAAGACACTTAACCCCAAGTTGCTCCTGCTGCTACGTCAGTGTGTCAATGTGTATGAATGGATTAGTTAATAGTGATGGACACTTCTCACAGCAGCGTCTGCCATCAGTGTGTGACGGGGTTTGAATTTGTGGTGTAGAAAGCTCTTTGAGTTGTCAGAAGACTAGAAAAGCTCAAGTCCATCTCACATTTGAATGAATGAATGAATGTTTTTATTTTTTCATTTTGGTCATTCATTAAAAGAATAACAAGAGTCAAAAATGTTTGTGCAAATAGTCCACTTACAGAAATAGAAACAAAAAAACTTTACATGTTTACACTTTCACACAATAACATTCAAACATTCAATGACCAAAAAAGGAACAGGCTGAAGCACAAGGCTTATTTCTGCCTATGCTGTAAAATCCTTCATATAAGTCAGAACATAAGAATCCAACAAAAATAAAACACAAACAAAAAGTAGATAAACTCATTTTTTAAGTATTGATCATTTCATGTTGTAATCACTAATTAATTATTTAGCATGTTTTTTTTTTAAAACTACAGAGAACTACACAATTTAAACTCATCACTCAGGCAGTTCCATAATTTTACTCCTCAAACTGAGGTGCATCTGTCTTTTATGTTGATTCTCGCTTTGTTACAAACATACATGACCTCTAAAACATTAAGGCTGTATTGTATTTCCTTCACTGTCCAGGTGATCCCAGACTGCCTCTCTAATAGTCGTGTAGTGACCAATTTTAACAAACCCAACTGTTTAGAAAAGTCATTTGAGGGATGAATGTGGAAGCTTTCGTACGCGTGCTTAGCTCGAAGAAATGAACACAGTCCATTGATGATTCGATTTGGATATTTCAATCCATTTATTTTTAAACACTTCTTATCAAATAAAGGAAAATATGACGAACCACTGTTTATAAATAAACAAACAAATCCGCGTTGGATGCGTTTAACTCCGACAGGCTGACACGGTAAAAAAAACTGTTTGCCTTCATTCAATCACCTGTCCCACCTCACCTGGAGCCTTGCTTAACCACAGCATCCGCCCAGGCTACACATAGTGCCCAGTAGAGGGCCAACACACACAACCGCAAGGAAAATAGCATCACACAAAACAAACACCTCATTTGGCTCCAACAAGTCGGTTCTGGACTTTGTGGAAACTAGTCCATGACTGTCAGTGTCTTATCAGCTGTTTCTCTCCAAACATGTTTTCACTGCATTAACAGTCCACCTGGGATTGTTGCCATGCTGAAAGAAATAATAATGTTCCCAATCAGACGCTTTCCAAAAGGGATGGCATGATAAATTAGAATAACAATGCATCGTCAAATCTCTTTTTCCTACAGTAGAAACATGATTGATCAAAATTAGTTTTCATTTACACAATAGCAAAGAGTTTCTACAGTTACTTTGATTAACAATTACATAATGAGTATGAGGTAAATTAGTTGTCTATAAATCTACTCAAGTAAAAGTAAAGAGTATGATCTAAATGGCCAACAGGTTACCCCGAGCACAGCCTGCGTACACGTTCTCAGGAGCGCACGGTTGCAGGAACATAACATGAAAAATAAATCAAAACTCCTTGGCACACGGGAAATAACTTTACTGTATTTGATTGAGAGCATATTTTATTTTCAGTGTGCCACATTTTGATTTATTTCAAAATCTACTGAAGGCACAGAGTACTTGGACATTACCACATGCTTTAGGGGCTAGAGTTGAAAAATAAATACAAGGGTGGCTTTGGTCACCCTTGATTGGCCACCCAGGTCCAACCCAAAGAACATAAACTATGATTTGGCTATTTACCTTGTCAGAGGTGAGGCTTAAGCTGTGTTTTCTTTGCATGTCCTGGTTGAATATTTTCTTTTTTCTCCTATTAGTGCCTTACATTGTCATAAATACTTGTCTAATTTATTAAATATGACAACTGAGGAAAGGAAAAGGCCATGAAAATTGGCAAGCAAACTCCTGCTTGCCATGAACTGACTGGCAGTGTGTTGGTAGTCACACATTTTCAATAAACATATTTTTGCATGTTAGTGCAGGAGTTTGATTGCAATTAATTAAGTACTTTAAATTGTGACTTTGGACATTCATCTTTTTGTTTTCTCAAAGAATTAAGCTAAATGATTTTTATTATGCCACTCTGTTGTATTACATCAAAGTAGGTTTGATCAGTGGATATAGAAAGTGTAAATAAATTAAATTAAGTCGTGTGTGTACGCAAACTAAAGTAGCGTCAAATAGTCAAATAGTCAAGTTTAATGCCTAATAAAATCATGACTTTTCATTAACACTTTGGTTTTATATGGATTAAACACAAATAAAGGATTTTACAAAATGATTTTATTGAAAAACATTCCTTATTAAGACAACAATGAAAGCATGTAACTAAAGGTTTGAAGACATCTGCACTGTTTTTTAAAGATGTTTCAATATGCTGCTTATACCAAGAGCTTCTTTTGAGTTGT